CCTCCTCAACCCCGCACCATCTCCACCACGCAGGTCGATGTACAGTCTCCCATTAACTGCATATACTAACTCTGTCTCCTCAGCAACCTTCCACCACGACCAGCCCAGGAGTGAGTCCCAGCGTCCGCAGCCCGGCCTTTCCCTCATCATTCCACCACTGACTGTTATTCACCTTCTGCGACTCGACACCCGGTCCCACTTCAACCTGGTTATTCACTTCCTTCTAAGATATCACTGTAAATAAACTGAGCACTACTTGCAATGAAGTCAGCCACCTAGGTCCGTCCTTTTTGTGACTCGCTCACCTCTGTGTCCGAGCGGATCTAACAGTTTCATGCATGAAATGAGTCATTTCCCTTACAGCCAGCATTATATAGGTCAGGAGTTTTCAACCAGTGGTCCACGGCCCCCTAGTTGTCAAGACATAGCACTGTGTCAGTGAGCATGCATTCAAAAATGTCGTTTCACTGTAGGCATCACTATATTAAAAAAAAATGTAATTGTTGTTTTTGAATAATAAAATTCATGCAAATATATAAAATTTAGAAAAGCCAAAGTGACTTTCAGGATTAAAATAGTGCCCATGTGGGCTGTCCACCCAACAACAGTAATCCTCATGTTAGTCAGAATGGTGGTCCCTGCTATAGGTGAAACCCAGTTCTGTTATTTTATTATTCTTCATTTCTCAATTGACCCAGAATTCATTTCTTTCTCCCATCATGACGGATGTTCCAAAGCTCTTTCTCGTGCTCTGAGGAGTGAGGAGGCTGCCTGTGTGAATCCTTCATGGAAATCTACTGCAGACTGACATGCCTTTTTGTTGTAAATCAGCTTGTGATTGGATTCTTCGAATGAAGAATCAGAGCAAAGAGCATCTCATACTTTTGAATGTGTTTCTTTGGTTGCTCTCTCCTTGCATTTATTCTTTGTATTGTATCCTTCCTTCTTATGTGGGCTGGACTAAGACACGAGAAAAAGACAAGTTTTGAAAACATGGATGCAGTTAAGGGAAATGGGATTTACCTAATGTCATTTCTTTTTGCATGATGGTCCCCCACATCAGGGGACAGTTATGCAGCAGCTCTATTTTTATCACATTGGTTTTTCTTTTTGTTATTGTTCATTTTTCCATCTTATTATCTCTTGACACTGTTAACAAAATTTGATAAAAACATGAAACGTTCTTAAAAGTAAGGCTTTTTGGAAATATACAGTGATGAATATAAATATTAGCTACACTCGAGATTTTCCATTGTTACAGTCCCTACAGGATTTTTAAAATTACAATTATGTATATGTGAATACTGATTTATGTCTGAGCTGTGAATGTACAAAAATGGAAAAGTGACTAAATTCCTTCCTTGTGTTTCTCTTCACAGGCTCCATGACTGCACAGGTACATCTGGGAGAAGTTTTGCTTTCTCTTGTTACAGAGTTTGGTTCTTCAAGTTGAGACTGTTTATAAGGAAAACCTCCTCCATTATTTGACCTGTAGAATAATTGAGGAACAATTCAGTGATTGTATGAGAGAAACCAAGGAGATCCACCACAAACAGTAGGTTTGTGATCACCATACATTTAGATATTTGTTCGCATAAGCTTTGAATTGATAGCAAATGTAAAACAGATGCAATCATTTGAAGAGTGAAAGTTCTCTCTGGAGAGAAGAGAACAAAATACTACTGAAACATCTCTTAACAGGATAGTTTTTTCATTTAGTTTCATTCTATTTTTATTTCAAGACAAGAAGGCCGTAACGCAAAGGGATACAAAACAGACAACTGACACCTTTGTAAAAGAACAGGAAAATAGCTTTTCTCTTTCTTTCACCTGATTCTTCCCCAAATCAAGAAAACTCGAGGCTTTCATTGAACACGTGTCAGAAGGGAGGTCAACACAAAAGCAAAGATGAACCCTTATGCC